TGGGGCGCTCTGCCCCTGCTCGCCGGCCGCGGCCCCGCCAGCAGGCCCGGCCGCCGCTCTGCGAGCATCTGGGAGCGCGGCTTCCCGCCGCCCTGCGCAGAGCCTGGCCTTCAGCGAATTCATCCTCGTCGTAGTGGCAGCGGTGGGGATAACGCACCTTTACGTTCCTCTCCTCTGCGGACCGTCTAGACCAGTTGAGGTGTTACCTTCTGCGCCCCAGCTGCGCGTCCGCCATTTCCCTCCAGCTGCCGCGGGGTCTGGCCCTCTCCTGTCTCCTTGGCACGTCGGCTCCTACAGGGCGGCTGGCTCATAGCCTGTGGTGCTCGTACTCATTCCACGCCGTGGGCTTTCATTCCCTCTGTGGTTTCCCAGTCAGTCGCTGTTCCCAGACTGACACATTTTGGGTCAGTTTTGGGACCCCTTCCCAAAGCTCAGGGTGGCAGCAGGATTATGGCCACGGGTGAGGAGACTGGCGGCTCCGTGGTTGCTGCTGCCTGGGCTGACTGATGGCAGCAGCAGGATGAGCTGTCCCTCGGCAGATTTGCTTTCTGAAATGAAAGCCTGTCCGGTTTAAAGCCTCTGATTCAGTAAGGGAACAAACAAACAGGTCAGGCTCAGTGGCTCAGAATCACTTAAATGCAGTAGAAGTTGCGTGAGCCTCATTGGAGGAATTGGTGAAGGGTGCTACTGGATTCTTCAAAACTTGTCTTGTAGGTGATGGCAGCTGCCATAAAGCCCACAAACTTTGAGGAGGAACAGCTTCCTAAAAAGAGAGAAACTATGACCTGGAAGCCCAGAAAAGGTAAGCCTAAAATATTAGGGCAAAACAAAGCACACACAGAGTATTAACACACTCTGCTTGAGGAGATACAGTTCAGACTCTTCGGGGATGCATGGGAAATGCCTCTTCAGTTAGTGCACTGAATGATTTCTGTGTAAATATTTGTGTATGCCTAGGTGCAAGAGTAATTAATACTATGAAAAATTAGGTTTTTTAAACTTAGAGCTGTGGTTTTTCAACAGACCCATTATTTATAAATGCCAACAGGTGAATGTGATGAAACGACTGCTGGGTCCTATGCCCTGTTATAAAGAGCTATTTTCCAGCAAGAGTGTGGAAAATCCTGACTTGGGCTAGAGTTGTGACGCAAGCCTATGTCTGATGTTCCCAACCATCTGAAACAACACTGTAGTGATGCTACATGTGTAAGGAATTGCATATATTATAACAGGTTTAGGAGTCACAAAGCACATTTATATACCTGGCTGAATTATTGCATGCTAAGCATTTAATTGTTCCTTTTTAATTCCTAAATATCTCTGTTGGCTCTTTCTGTTGTTTTTAGAATGGTTGCTGAAGAATATTCCAAATGTTCTTGATAGTGAGTCTGAAGAAAGTGAATTCTCTGGTATCTCTCAAAATGAAAATGTCAGTGGCTCTCCTGTTGACCTATATCCTGATCTGGAAGACTCGGGCGGTGAAGATTCCAGTATGCCAGAGGCTGTAACTTTTCCAGAGCTGCAGACAGCTTCTGTGTACGAGGTGGAGGACTGGAATGAAGAGCTGGGGGACTCTGAATGTAATCCTTATGGTGAGTACAAATTTACTTGTGCTTCATTTGAGTTTTGGTTAGTATGTGATTGGAGGTAGGTGCTTTGCAGGAGAATGTGTTTTACATTAATCCATGTTCTACTTTGGGAAGCAATGTTGTTGGGGACCTTACGGATTTGTAATGCATAATTTTGTTGTAAAATATAGGATTTAAAGCCAGTGTTGTCAAGTTCACATGAAACTCTTGAGCACCTGAATTCTTGGGGAGTGGAATGGTAACGAGAATTGTGTGTGTATTGAGCTTCTCTGGAGAATCTAGGTCTGACCAGTGTATCTTTGTTATTCCGAAGCAGAAGAGAAAGGTACATGGAGTGCAGAAATGTAACTTTTTTGTGTAAGCGGAGTTCTTCCTTTCCTCCAAGAAAATTGTTCCAGACTGTACACTGTCATGTTCCTCTAGAGCATGGAGTTCCTCAGAGGGGAGCAGTACAAGTGCTTAGTCTCAGAGTATGATTTGCTGTTGCTTTTGCTGTAGAGGTTTTTTTTGTTGTTTGGTTTTGGGGGTTATTTTAGTGGTAGGTTTGTTGGTTTGGTTTTTTGAAGCTTGATTCTCTTAAGTGACATGTGATCAGTCCCATCAACAAAGGTTGCAATGGATAGAAGCAGTTTCATCCACATCTTTAGAGTAGTGTTCATCCTCCAGTTTGTAACCTGTTTCACAGTGACTCATGTTGAACTCAGAGTCTCATCCTTCCATTTGCCAGGCTGTATGTTAGGACAGAACAAGTGGATGGAGTTCAGCCAGCAGTGGCTGATAACCTGCTGTGTCTTGTTGATGCAGAATAGTACCATTTCCATTTTCTTCTTATTAATGTGTATCTTTTGTAATTAATACAAACACTCCTTTATTTGCTTAGGAAATATCAGTTATCTGTTTATTTTAATTCCATAAATGGTTGTTGTATTCAAGTTCCATTGTTTGATAAAGGAAGGAAGTGGGAAAGTTTTTGCAGGCTTCCTATAAAATCATTCTGATTTTAAAATACAAACACAGTAGTGGCTTTTCACACTGGGTAATGAGAGAAAGATAGTTTCCTTTTTACATGTTTCTCTCTTTTCCATCCTGGGCTTTACTTTAAATCTCTCATTGGCTCAAATTTATGGAATATTTTGATTTTTTTTTTTTTTAATAATTGGAACTGTCACAAGTTCTCTTCCTTTATTTAACTAACTCATCTCTACCTGTAGCTTATGTTCTTCAGATCCTTACAAACTAAGGAAGCTGTGATTGTGGGATTTAGGTGGTTGTGAAGGATACTCAGTAAAAATGTCTGAATTGTTAACCACTACAAATAAAAAATGTGCTTGTTTGGTTGTTTTATGACTTTTTAAAAAATAATTTAAAATGTTTGCTTTGGCTTGTTTGTAGTTGTTTGAAGGCTGACATGGATAATACTGTGTTGGTCCTCTGCTGCCCCATACTCTGGGCTTTTCATTTGCTCAGTCCTTTCAGTGTCTGCTGGCTAGAAATGTTTTGCTTCTGTTAAAGGACTTTGCCCTATTTTTGTGCTAGGTTGGTTAAATAACAGGCTTAATTCTAGCTTAGTGGAAATGTTGTTCAGAGCTGGCTTTTACAGGACCCCACCCTTCCATTCTGTCCAGTGACCTAGTTCTTAGAGGGTTTGGAGGGTTCCTAACTGGGATGTGATAATGGAGGCAGCGGGAAGGGGAAGAAAGATAAAAGTAATGGTTTCATGAACCTCTTATGCCTGGAGAAAATGTAGAAGTGCATGCAGCATAAGAGCTAGTGTCAGATGTTCTGAATCCAGGTGTTCTGAATCATTGAGCTTTTTGAAAAACTGCTTTGTTTCTGTGGCAAGGACCTTCATTAAAGTGAAGACACCACCAAACTCAGCTTTCTGTTTGCTTTGTTTGTAGGTCTGATTAATGAGTGCTGACAGATCAAATTGAAGTAGTTAACTGCAAAGTAATATGTACATCGTACCATTGGTTTTCTAAGTATCTCCCATGGTTTAAATCTTTTCTTTGATCTTCTTTAGATCCTGGTGATCTCTACTGTGGAAGCTTTCAGGAAAATAATCTTTTGGCCTCGTACTCTTGGCAAGAGGATTCGTTTTACAACCCAGACTGTCACCATGCAGCTTGCCTTTCTTTTACACCACCAGTTAGAATGACCGAGGCTGGCCAGTTTGATGATGCTGATGAATGAGGTTGACCCTGGTCAGAACTAAGTTTGGCTTCTGAGTTGGATTATGTTCTTCACCAGTCGAGTCATGTCAAGTCCTTTGGCTTGCTCGCAGTTCTGTATAAGGCCAGAAATGCTACACCATCTCTGAAATTTTACTTAGACTGCTTCTGAGCTGTTTATAAATTGACCATGCTTGACCTCTGGAAACGAGTGCAGGTGGTAGCTGTAAGGAGTCAAGGCATTTCTGGACTTTCTGTTTGTATTACATAGATCTATGTTGTTGCTAATAATTGCTTGAAAGGCAGTATTTAATTTCTAAGCTTCAGCTTGTTTGCCAAGCTTTGCCAGTTTTGACATGCTGATCCCTGTGTGTCTGTGTAACTTAGTTTTCTTTCATTTGATGCTGTCAAATTGGTTTGGACAGCTTTAAAGACTCTTCCTCCTTCTACTTCTCTGTTGTATTTTTATGTTGCAGTTTGTGATTCTGTATTTAATACTGGTGTTAACAAAATTAGTCATGACATACAGAATGAGCTGGTTTGTTTTTCTTTTATATGTTTCACTATAAAGGAATTATGGATAGACATTTTGCAAATACGCATGCGGACATACAGTAGGGCCTGCTGGATCCAGCAGGAAGGCTGGGTGCTTCAGACTGCCTCCCAGCAAAGGTTTCTCCACATCACACCCTCCTGTATATGGGCATGTTATCCTTCAGTCTCACAGTTGTCTTCATAACATTCTCATGTGACATCAGAGGTGTAATGATGAAGAAAATATCTACGTTTATGTAGTGACTTGCAGCGTATAATCTCAGTGTCCTTCAAACAGTAGTGGATTAAGGTTCCTGATGCTGCTGATATATTTGTTTTGTTGTTGTTTGTGTTATGGCAAATGAGGAGATGGGCACACAAAATAGCTCCATAAAGTCTTTAAGAGAATAGCTGGAGCTAGAACCGTATCCTGCTTGCCTTTGCTTTGGAGTTAAAGGAAATGTTCTCAAATGAAGTATGTAAGTGGTATGTAAATGGATTGAATGGCTGTTACTTGAGTAACAATAATCTCCGACTAATGCTCATATTCATTAATCACTTATCTTTCAAGAATCTTTTGATAGCTTTGTGTTTTGACACTGACTGATACTGGAGCACAGCACCCATGTTTGTTTATTCTCGCATGAGGAATTAACATTTGCCACGGGGAGATTTTTCTTTTTATGTTATCCAATGTATGAGACTGAAATCATTTACTTATTAGTTTGGAAGGAGGAAGTGAATGACACGGTGATATTTGTTTTATCTTCTTCTTGAGAGGAGAGGAAGACAAGAGCTTGGAAAAGTCTTTTCTTCTAGCACCTGCATCTTACTACCTAGCAAGTAATCCAAGTAGAGTGGAAGCCTGGTGTTGAGGATGCAAGAAAGAGGGCCTATTCTTTATACCTATATGATGGAGTGATCTAGGGATTAGTATTTCCATCAAAACTTATTTTGGCATGCCTTCAGAACACATACATACAGCAGAAAGCATGTAACAGACTTCTCTCCCTGCACAAGAAGAAAGGCCTCTCTGTGCTGAGACATTGGGTGTGTTTTTTTGTTCTGTGGGCTGCTGTGTATCAGAGAGAGAGTGCAGCTCTTTGGGTCCTGTATTAGATAGAACACGCACTTGTCTCTGTGGAATGGAAATACCCACTTTATCAGGTTTGACTGTATAGTGGCTTCTTTCCCTGAGAAAAGCGGAATAAAACTCTGAGCATAACTGTGACTTACAAATGGGAGTAAAATTGTTGACTTGCAGTTATAAACACAATATTAATAAATATACATTGAGTACAGATTACTGTTGAAATAACAATACACCAGTAAATTGTAAAAGTTCTGAAAAAGCACATATTATTTTGTGAGCCTATTTATCCCTTCCCAGGCTTCAGCTGTAGATGGCAATGCTCGACACTACCCTGCAGAGGGCAGCAAAAAATTGTCTACCCTGTTTAGTGTATTTTCATCTGGCATTAAGTTTAATCAGCAAGTGTCAGATCCCCGGGCTGGTTTTCTAACGTTGATAGCAATTTAGATCTGTGTTCTGCATAGCCCTGTTGTTCCCCAGTGAGACTGATTCATGGCCCTGATTAGATTCTCTTTTTTATTTCACTCTGAAGTTATACTTACTGGACTGAAAAATTTCTCCCATGGCTGAGAAAAGAACATCACTTGACTTTGGGCTTAATATATTTTTTTACTATGCTTGTGGGAGGTGTCCCACCGTATTTAATAAAGATGAAACTAACAGAATTCTGTGTAGGATAACCAAGAATTCTTTATAACATCATTTAGGATTAATTTCTACCTGTATGTTTCCAAAAAAACATAAGTACCAAAGTCTTCAAGCCATTTTCTATACATTCTATAAATCAAGTTTGGTTTTTCAGCCTGTACCTTTAATTGCAATCAGCCTTGTCTATCTTGACTGTCTTGTTATTTGAGGAGAAATTGTCTTGAGGAGAAATTGTCTTGAATGGCTGCCTTGCCAAACTGCTTGTATTTTAAATCACTGTAAACTTACGTGATTTCAGTTTCCCTTTAAGGTTAAAACTGACCGAACACCCACCAGCTTTGGAAAAAATGGCATGAAGATTTTACAGCGGAGATGCATTGTGCTCTCTAGGGATGTGTTGGCAAATAGAACTTTGTTCGTCTTGGCCCTGCTTGTTAGGGAAGGGGCTTAATGTAAAGCTTCATCTGAATGCTCTCAGACTTCAGTGGGATTAGAAAACCAGATGCAGACTTCTCAGAAAGCATCTCCCTGGAAGGATTTGAAACCAAGCGCATGGATTCCAATGTTTCTACACTACAGAGTGTTTAAGATTCCATTGTGAATCTTGCACTGAGCCTTTGTGTTGATACAAGCATGTCATTCTAGGCAAGAACATGTTGCACTTAAAAACAACATAAGGTACCACATGAGACAGCAATTCAAGCCAAGAGCGTCAACTCTTCAGCCTGCTCAGATTATTGGAGGGAATAGACTCCCATTACAGCACCAAAATCGTAAATATTTTATGTGTACAAGAAACACGTTGGCAGTACATAAATCAGTTGGAAAATTTATCAGAAGTGTCAAAGATTTCTCAATTAAATGCACATACATGTCTAACAAGATTTCCCCCTTCTACACCTACTGTATAAGATACTCAAAGGACAGAAGGCTCTACTGCAGGATAATATGTTTGCTGGGTTTATATTGTGTGTAAGCCTCAGTAGTATGGCATAATAGGGTGGCTCAGAAGAAGACCTGGGTACAGTTCCAGAGTTGTGTTGCTTTTCTTCTCATTTCCCCATTTTACAGGTACAGATAAAGATACCAGCCTGTTTGTAAAGAACTTCAAACTCTCCGAGCAAGAAATTTTGTCTAAATAATGTGTTAAAAACAAGACAAAACCCAGAGTTTTGCATTTTCTTTGAAAAGGCCAGCAAAGAAATGAAAACTTGTTTTGGGTGCATCTGTTGTTTCCTTTGAGATCTACAGGGAATGATTTGCAAGAGGAAATAATTGAAGGAAATGTGTTCATATTTCCTGTTGATAAGGTACAGCACTTAATTCAGATTGAGATAGTGGTTTCTTGTTCTTGTATAACCATAAAATCCAGCCCATTTTAGTGTCTTTTAAAGACACCACCGCTTGACTTGTTGTTTTGTCCCATCTTTTAACTAGCATGCTTTTGCTCTTACACGGAGAAAACGCCTCCGCTGTTGAGGGGACTGTGGAAATAATTTGACAGACTAAAGGAAAAATGCTGATGGCAGCAGCCCATCCTGACCATCTGCTGCTTCCAAGGACACTAGTGTAAACCCCACTGTAACAAAGGTCACTTTGTGAAGCTGGTGGGTAAGTCTCTGTAGGCATGGGGAAGGAACTTGTGATACTTACCCTCTGTGGTTCTGTATTGCAAACATAGACATCAGAGGCTTGAGTATTAGAGGATAAATGTGTGGTGGAGTTGTTTGTTCTGGGAGTAGCAGCTGCTCATGGCATAGCTTCCTAGCTTGGAAGTTACCTACTATAACTTGACTGTAACCTACTAAAACACCTGACTGCAACCTACTAAAAAAAGCTGGGAGGCACGCAACCCTCGTAATTGGTTTTAGTGATGGAAATGGCTTCCTTTAAGCATTTGGCATAGATCCTCAGCTGGTATAAACTGTTGCAGCTCATCACCCAAGCAGAAGCTCTGTCCCTGTATGGCTCCCTATGCAACGCCTGTGTCATCTCTGAGCTAAAGCTCATGTTCAGTGTTCCATTATTGCTGTGGATTTTAGTTTTTAATATAATGGGCTTTCTTTACATTTATTGCAACTCTGTTGACCTTCACAGAACAAAAAACATTAATGTGGCTCAGTATCTATATTTGTTTCGTTGCAGGTTGTTTTGTTATTGGTTTTTTTTCCATATTGACAATAGCTAATTTCAGGACATGTAGCCAAAATCAGCCTAGGAGAGTTAACTTCTTATAATTCAGCAAGTCTTGACTCTGGCCTGAATTATTTGAATCACATCTTTTCTGATCTGCCTGAAGCTTTTGCATTTCATTGTGTGATGCAGGAATTTAAGACTGAGCTGTATACATAAATTGTGTGTATTTTTTTATGAGCCTGAGGTCTCAGTTTGTCATTTTATTTCCCTCAAAAGGAAATACCAGTTAATTCTGCTCAGTCCTTTTTGATCTATTGGTCCTTAGTAAAATTTATGTTGAGCAACACGTCTTCTCTGAGATCTGGAGTACCATAGAATGTCAAGTTGTCATTGTGCTGCTTTGCAGTTTTAATCTGTAGCTATTGTGGAATGTTGTTCCAACATTAAACAAGTTCTTTAGTATTTCTGTAGCTACCTTGGGGACTACTCCAGAGCTTTCACATTTTCACTGAGGAGTTCCTTCAGTTACTTAACACAGACTAGAAAATATGTTGTTGTTTTTTTAATTATTTGATCATAGATAAAGTCATATCATTTAATCTGTAATCTTTGTCCAGACACTTTACAGGTGTGTGAGTAAATGTGCAACATTATAATATAGCACTGGCTGGCTACAGCTGGCTGGGAATTGTGTAACTGTCTCCTGTGTTACATGCTTAAATGCTTCAGGGGAAGTAAATAGGTGTGACAGTGTGATTAAACAGGACCTATAGTCCTTTTATGTAACTGAAGTTCCAGATAGGAAGAAAAAGTATTTTAGCTGAACAGGTCTTCACAGTGTTGGTGACAGTAGTGTAGTAGAATTGGAATAGCCATGTCAGAGGTGCAGTTGATACTTCCAACAGGAGCATGGGCAACAAATCAGAGTAGTATATTAGGGGTTGTTTTAGTAACTTTTAAAGGAAGTGGTGATAGATTAGAACCTTGTTCAACACTACATCTGAATTAATTTCTAGTCTGGGTAGGCAGCCACTGAAAGCCAATGCCAGTTGGAGCCGATTCATACTGAGGGATTTGGCACAAGTGAATACTGAGCTGGTGGTGACTCAGGTGGATTCTCTGCATGGAGTTGGGGACTGGACTGAGTAGTTCCAAAACCACCCTTTGTCAGGAGACACATGTTTGGTATTGATTTGATATACCCTTAAGTGGACGATATTAGAAAACTCAGGAACCACATCTGCTCCAAAATAGCATCTTTTGTGAAAATAAAAGATCTGTAGAGGAGGATAACTAGCAATGTCTAGATTCTATGCTGTGAAGAGCTGTTAGATTCTTCTGCTTGAAGCCAGAGAAATTTCTGTGGCTCCAGTTGCTGTATTTACTTCATTTTACCAAAATATACTGGGTCTCATATAAAAAAAAATCTGATACTGCATTGCAATTCAGAACCCCTCTTAAAGCTCCCCTAGGGAAATGGGGAAGGGTGGAGGGGGGAAATGAATATAGCTGCTATTTTAAACTTTTAATGCGTACATGTCATAGATAGGGATCACTTCGGTCATGTAGCCTAACCCTCTCTTCTCCAAGATACAGCCAAGGAATTCTTGTGGCAGAAGAAATGTTTCTTCCATATTTGTTTAACACATCTTTTAAGCTCTTATTTCACAGACAAAACAAAGCTATAAATACAGGTTTAATAATGAAGTATAAACACATGAGATGTGCACCCAAGTACTTGGAGTGTTGGTCTGCTGCAACAAGCCCTTGTCCCTGTACGTAAGCCTGATAGTCCACGTGGGGGACCAGGTCTTGTTCAGCAACCTTACTTGCTGCATTCTCTTTTATACAGGAGAAGAACATATAAGGGAAGTTCAAAAGTTCTGTTTCAGTTGTGGCGAGCTCATTGTATCACAAACTGAAGCGGGACAAGGAGTAATCTGAAATGAATGCACAAGTTGGAGCCTGTAAATTGCCAAAGTGCTGATTCAGAAGCCATCATCGTTATCTTGTCTGCTGTCACTACTGGGTTTGCTAGAATACTAGGCACACCTTGCTCTCAGTGTTAGGTTTATTAGTACCTTCAGTTCCATATTCTTCATATAGGCCATTATTTTCCTGGCCTGAAACACCTTTTACCTTCCATTTTGTTTAGTTTTAAGTTTTCTGCATCATTCATACTTGATTTGTTTGATTTGGCCTCTTAATTCTGCAGCTTGTAGTTTGCTAGAAGTCTGGTCTTTTTGGTGGGATTGGTCAGACGTTCTAGATAAAGCCACTTAGATAAATGGTTCTCAGGCAGAGGCTGCCTGTCTACTAGATAAGAGCTACATTTAGTTCTGTTATCTGCACTTGTGTTAGTAGGTGGACTAGATTTAATTTGGTCTTTTGGAGGTAAGTGGGCAAACTGTTTTTCAGACAGATCTGGGATTTGGTTTAAGGATAGACTTTATGTGGTCTGTAAAGTGCATTGTAGCCCTATAGGAATACTTTGTGTGTCTGGTTCCTGCCTGCAATTTTGAAAGCTAACTGTAATGATGGTGCTTCTAATTATGTACAGAGGTAAATTCTCAGAGCAAAGAACGGGGAGTTTCATCATCTGTCCCATTAAGTGCAGCAGGGTTTCTGTTGTGCAA